TCTTTCCCTTTGCTGAAATAGTGTTAAATACTCTACGAAAACTCGCAAACCACTTACGACACTTCCAACATAAATTCGGCGCTTCCGATGGCTACCGAAAAACGAACAATACACCACATATAAGGAAAAAGTCAAAAATGAAAAGTGAGGAAAAAAATGAAAGTCGCAACGTCGCTTAAATTAGTTTTACACTTATCAATTTTTGCTCCGGAGCCTTAAACCGGGGTGTGCGGCTTACCAGGTGGCCATCCGGTCTGCTCACACCCTGTTATATTGGTGCGAGCGGAACACCTACCAAGCCGCTGCAACCACATGAGGGAGAAATTGGGATAAGCAGGGTGTGCAAGTAAAACCAAGAGGAAAGAGTAGTTCAAAGATTTTGAAACCCTATTCGACGTTTATATCGCAGGGTAAGTCAGTGGTTACAGTAAAGGGGATTAGTGGTTAATTAAGAGTAAAAAGAGGCTTAATTAACTTATAACTTCCAATTTTTTATGTCTTTCAATTCATTCATAATTTATATTTAGTATTATATATCAAATTGTTTGATTTGACACGTAGAATTTTATAAACTTGATTCAAATGAAATCTGACGAATCTGAAATTTTGGATATATTTTAGATTGCCAAAGCTTTTACACGATTTCTCAAAATGGAGTATTTCTTCATTAGAATCATTATAGTGAATTGCTCTCTTTTCCCCCATCTTTACTTGTGCTAGCATCTACCTTACTGAGAATCACAATACATCCATGGAATGCGCCGAAATTTTGCTTATTCATAATGTTGTAGTGAAAAGCTCTCTTTTCCACCATCTTCACTTGTGCTAGCATCAACCTTATTGAATCACAATACATCCATGGATTGGGCCCAAATTTTGCTTATTCATATTGTAAACTACAAGTAAAAAAAATATGAACCGGCTTTTTAAGTTCAGCAAAACCGACAAACTGTTTCTGCTAGTCAAAAGGGATATAGGGAGGTAAATGAGACTTGCCTCATTCAAAGCGAAGAATAGGACACAAGGAGAGAAAACAAACATTGCACATGAGAGTTGAATCCATCCATAGGGATAATGTTGCAATGTGTACAGACGGCGAGCCCATGCGAATGAGATAAAACCAACGCCAATGAGCATAGTGTACGGGCGAGGAGTTCAACCATGCTGATAGATGTTGCATGCTGCAAGAACGACGATGAAAAGAAAGGAGACAACAAATGCCACATGCTCAAGAGCTTCACATGTAGCCATAGTATAAAACTAGTGTTGATGACGTTCGGTGCAGGCTGAGCACCAAGTATGAAAGATAAGCAATACTAGACATGTGAGTGTGTAATTCTAGCAAGTATAGCAAGCTAAACAATTAAGTAAAGTGTGAACGTAGCAAATTGGAATGGGCAGAAACTTATAAAAAATAGTTAGGGTTTTTTATTTATATCAAAAATAATTATTTTAAATTAATTTTTTAAATATTCATCAATCCCAATTGGAATCAATAGTTGTCTGATCATCCTTGCAATCCAGTGTGGCACTTTTTTATATTTGGAATGAGTTGTGGTGCATATGTCATGAGCATAATAAATTCAGCTTCATATTGTATAAACAATCAATCTCTTTGTATCGGTCTGATAAATTTATCATACATTTTTCTCTTAGCAAAAAATGAACATTAAACTTTATATAAAATCTGTATTTAACATTTTTACACTTAATTTTTCTTTAAAATAATCAATTATCTCTTCTCATTTTACTACTTTTAAAATTTTAGAAGTCATCTCAATTGCATCATCAAAATATTTACCATTTTGTATCATAAAGACTATTTACCATTTGTATCATGAAGATACGTCTTTACCATTTGTATCATGAAGATAAACTCTTATCATTTCCTTTTTCTTTAATGTTCATGAGTACAATAACATTCCCAACTAATCTCATTGGGCGTAACTCCTGAAATACTTAACATTAAAATTTTTATTTTCAATTATTTCATTCCTTTAAATCATTATTTTTTTTTAATTTAGAATAAAAGGTGAGAGTACTGAAATAGAGAAATAAGAATTTCTTTTTCAATTAGTTCTTTCATTTGTAACGATGCTTTTAATACAAACGAACAAGTGAAATATTTTGAAAATAAAAGAGTTGAATTTAATACAAATAAAATAGTAATTACTCTTCTTAACCCTTCAAAGGCCTCCATATAAGGTTAATCCTCCATTGTACTTCCTCTTAATATCACCTGTATCAATTTAAAAATGCATATATAAAGATTTTATTTCCAAAATAACTCTCTAACATATAATTCATTAATTTAAATATTTTTCTCATGAAAGTTGCAAAAAATTGATATTAAGTTTTTTTTTAATAACATAAAGAATCAAAGGTTGAATAATAATCTAATTGAAAAACTAGAAGAGATTGGGGTTATTGAACTTGGAAGAGGAAAGAAAAAAGAGATTGGGATAAAATTTTAATTGTAACTCTTCCAATATTTTTTTAGATGTATTTAAAACCTAGAGTGAGTTTAAATTGAAGAAATATTTTAGGATTTGATTTGAGGACGATAGCAAATTTGTCAAAGTAATAAAAGTTGAACAATTGGAAAAATTGTTGGATAAGTAAATTGAGAAAAAGGAAAATTGAGGTATGCAATATTTTATAGAATCCATAAATTTAAGTGGAAAAGTGGAAAATCAAATGTTGTCTAGAAATAACATTTCAATTTTATGAATAGGTGAATTGATCAAAGTTTATCTTTGATGTTTTAGAAAAGAAAGTCAACAAATTTTATTTAGGTTCTATCTGCATTAAATTAATTTTTTTTTAAATACACTCATGTTTGTAAAGATTAATCATGATAGTATAATCAAAATTTAATAAATATTTAACGTTTTAAAAATGTTTCATATGTACGAAAAATTCAACATATGTATCAATGATTAAAAGAAATAAAAATGAAATAGAATGAAATAAATGTACAAGTCAACCAAAAGAGTAGCTCTCTCATCCATGTAATATCATTTTTTTAACAACATCCATGCTAGAACATATGTATAATTAACATATAATAAGTTATAATTATTCTCTAAGTTGTGGTACAATATAAATTATTGTTTATTTATTTCAAAAAAAAACTCATTGGATTTAAATCACCAACAGGATCGAGTACATTTATATAAAATATGAAAAAATATAAATAGTCACATGTAAGAAACATAACTTGTTTTGTATTAATTTTTTTTACTAAAATTATTATTGCAATTTGAATGTTTTATATGTTTATGGATAATGATATAGAAATCTTGTGATTTAGTGGTTCTTCATTGTTTGGGTGATTATTGTGGATTGTTAAAAATGTTTGACTTTTAGAACACTATAGTCTGACTATATTTGGGTGATTATTGTGGATTGTTAAAAATGTTTGAATTTTAGAACACTATAGTCCGACTACCGACTTATTCATTCCTTAATCACACAACTATACTAGTAACAAAA